GAAGTCGGTAAATCGCTATTTTATCTTCTCAAATCAGATTTCGGTAAGTCGAATGATGTTTCGATTTCACGCATATTAACGGCATGCTCTTGATGAATATAATATGCACATTATCGGTGTAATATCTCCTACATATTGTTTATTTCATAATGATATCGAATTTTTGGGAAGTATGTGAGCAACTATATCATATAATAAAATTTTAAATTACGAGCTATTTTCACCTAAAATAATGTATATCACATAATTCCTATCAAGTTAATTTTCCAAATGGTCAATACGATTCAAGTTAAACTATTTTTATGACCTATTTGGTCACTAAAGTAAAATAATGTTATGTAATTGGTCATTTTGTTATCAGCATATACTCTAGTCTCTAGATCCAACATCGACTCGTTAAACATTGACATCAACTAATGATTATTATGTCCATTTCGTGAAATTACAAGTTTTCAAAATAAAACACAATATTTAGTTGAAAAAATAATATGTTCGGCCAAAATTCAAAATTGCTCCCTTCAACCCTAACTCTATTTTCATCATTGATAGATAGTAAAAGAGTCGTGACATAGCTAAAATAGGAGGCAGGATGGAAAGAACCGGTTGCTTTAACGGCCATTACTTCACTTGAAGGTTTGAAGGTTTTATGGGTCTGTTATGGCATTAACATGCTATGTTAACAGAGTGACATATAAACCTTATTTGAGCCTCATGTTTTGGAAAAAATAAATTTTATAATAGTGACTTTTTTAAAAAAAATGTGTGATCAAAAAGTAGAAAAAAATGAATTTATGTATAAAATTATTTTATTGAAAATTTTGTAGTTAAAATGAGTTTAAAGAAAAATAGATTTTTGAAAAATGGGACTCAAACAAGGGCATTATATAATATTATTTAACTTTAGTGACTAAATAGATAACAAAAATATATTTTAATAATCATTCGAAATTTTGCTTAAACTTCCTTTTAAATTAACTCATTTCTTATCGTTTATCTTGAATACTTTATTTTATGGAGCGCATGGCAACAAGCATACCATAAGGTTACTTTTTTCTCGCGTGCATAATAAATGCTCACCAAATAACAATCCTATTGTGGACCCTTATTATAGGATTTTATCATTTGTACAAAATAAACGCACAGATGATTTTACAGGTTTTGAGATAACAACACTTGATTGACTGTTTTAACTATATTTTTTGTCCAAAATCTAATGAAATATTGCCATGTGATACTCTGTAAAAATCCCTGTAAAATTTTCCTGTATATGTAGCAACATTCCTAATGTTATTGGTTACTCTTGCAAACTCCCTATATAAACATTAGTTACACTTGCAAACTCCCTATATAAAACAAAGGACACCTTCAAGATTACCCATCACATTTCTTTCTCCTCACTGGATCCCTTTTTTTTTTTCCATATCAATAATGTGATGTCGTTGTCGCAATCCTTAGAACTTGAGGCCTTTCCCATTTTTCAGAAGCCTCTTCACTCTTAGTAGCAACTTGGCTCGCCATTCCTCTCTACTATGTCTTCTTTTCGAAATGCCAGGCAACTCATGGATTTCAGCCACAGGCAAGTAGGCCATAGCCTAAGCACAAAAGGTTTATGGTGGCAGAAGGTTATAATTGAACTAGAGGTGTTCTAACAAAAGCAAAAGACAGCAACTTCACCATACAAGACACCTTCGTCGTCCTTTGAAATGGTGACCATCTACGTGCTTTGCTTGCAGTTTGGCACGCCGTATGACCAATCCCGAATGGTGCAAATCTCGGATCACCAACCCTTACGTCTATGCAAGAACCTCCCACTGTCACAAAAAAACCTTCGCCGATGGCCCAACCATGGGTAAAAACCATGAGCTGTTTTGCATTGGGGAAATAAGACATGGTGGCCAAGGAACGACGAGCCATATCACGACTGAGAGTGAAGAGGCTTCCGAAAGATGGTAATGCCTCAAAGTTTGAGGATTTCAACACCCAAGAGTTCTCCTGGACCAGCACGTGGCTTTCACCAAACATAGGCTGGGCATTAAACCTCTAGGCGCAACTCCAGATTTTAGCTAATAGCACAGTTTTGCATTCTTAGCTTGAATAGTGAAATTACCCTAAAATATCAAAAGTTTCGACACCTTCAGACAAGGGTTACAAAAATATTAATAGTCGTTAAAGAGGAAAGGAAACAGAGTCCACAACTGACCTCAAATTAATAGTTGTTAATATATATATATATTGGTGTGACGTTCTCATGTGCCTATTCTACTATTTCATTAAGAATAGTAAAAGAAAAAATTCAGAAAATTCTAAAGCTAGCATAACTCAATAAATTGTTGAGCTGAAAATCGAAAATGACAATGTATTCAACACTGGGGTAGTAAGATAATACAATATCCCACTTTAGAAGTCCTATTGTCCTATGCGGTCCTCTGTCATCACAGATTGCCTTACCATATTTATACAGCATTCTGTAGAACATGGAAGACTGACCTTCAAACTTACTACTCGCACTTGATTGACCGGTATATATGGCGGACAAAAAAGAGCGCTGCACGGAAACCGACTGTCCCAAGCATAAGAAAGAAACCATAGCAAATGCAAGCCATGTATCCAAAGAAGAATGAGGTTTGCATGAAGCCGGACATATCAGATCGTGCATAATAGTAATACAGGCAGTAGCCATATATGAATAGCCCAGTTGATCCACCACAAAGGAAAGACCTGTATAATAATTAATATTAGCAAGTCAAATCATCCATAAAATAGGATTAGTTACCATGAGCTAGTAAGCACATCAAGAAAATCAGAACTATCATACTTCATCAAATGATGAAATTTGCACTAGCATCTTGCAACTGATGACATTGAGCACAAAGCATCAAATGAGTAACAACGTTGTTTTCAATAAAAGGACTACCCATGATTAGTCCATGAAAAGCTTATCTATCAAAAGCATTGGAAACATATCTACTGGGAATTGAGAAATTGATCAAGAAGTTGTACCTCCACCACCACTCATGATCTTCGGCAGCAAGCTGGAAGTATGTTAATGCCACAGTAATAAAAGCAGTAACAATCAAGAGGATGATGAAGACTATAAATAAAATACTGTAAATGGTATAGATTCTGTGGCCCCACACACTGGCAAATATGTAGTAAAGTTCAATATATATAGCACTGAAAGGCAAGAATCCAGCCATTGCCATCTGAGGCAGAGTTCCACGATACCAAGGTAGTGGTGGGATCTCTCGTGGGTATTTCGTGGTACGAACAGGAGCCTGAAACTCTGCTTTGCTATTTTTTCCTGCTATTCCACCCAAGACTAACAAAGGTGATGTAACAAGAGCCCATATGAGAAAGATGACCACAATAGTACCGAATGGCAGTGCAGCAGTTGCATTGTAAGCAATGGCAACCGTATTAAGGAAGCAAAACGTAAGAAGCAGTGGACCGCAAAACAGACTTCCAGTCAACAATAAATTTCTGACCTGTAAACAAAATACTGAAGATCAGATATGCATGATAACCAGGATAAGTTTTAACTATCTTTTCTTTTCATAAATACATTTAAGCAACATTTAAAATAAAAAATGATATTAAAAACCAGGATAAGAAATTTTTCTTATTAGACAATCTCTATCGGTCTTACAGCTCTGTGCCTTGAAAAGTGGATTTCTGTATAGGTAAAAGAAAGTAATAATAGCCAGTTCATAAACCTCAAAAAATACTGATTGATATCACGAGGCTACAGCTTCAATATGAGGCACAAGGTTAATGTAAGAATCACCCTTACGCTAAAAATTTATTCTAAGGATCATAACTTAAATTGTAACAATAAATTATTGAGAATATACTGGTCATTTTAAAATTTCAACAAGTATTTTGGAATGTAATATTCATTATTTTTGTCCTGTAAGAATGTCATAATCTTCAAATGTTTTAAAACTCGGAAAAAGTTGCCCAACTGAGACCAAATTTACTTTGATTAGGCTAAAAATGAACCACCAGTTTTACCTAAATTTGATGGCAAATCAAGCCAATTTATTAGTGAAATACCTTGAACTAGCATAAAATAAATTTATTTACCATTAGTTTATCTAGATAAATTTTTTTTATAAAGCTGTATTTATGATCAAGATTATAAATGAATATCAGATGAAATATTTCTATTTCCAAATTCTATAACAGAGTATTTAAATCAAGTTTCTGAGTTAAATCCATCACATGAAATAGCAAGCTGCTGTTAAGTTTACGAACATTTTCTAAAATGCATTTTCAATCATATTGATCTGAACACTTGGTCAAATAAGCTCTATTTGGAGCTTAAATGGTGAAGAGAATCAAATATGCTCCTCCATCTTTCCAAAACAGGTTTTAATCAAGGGAATGATTAGCCAACTGAAGTAAATAGTGATATCATAGGATTATTCAGAGGGAGAAAAAAATTCTCAAGTATACAAGCTGACCGTGATAGACCAAGATACAAAATTTTGCCGATGCCAAGGAAGAAGACTCTTTTTGGTTACATATGTCCCCCCAATTCAAGTCAAATTAGGTAACTCCTGTCATTTTACAATACAATCCAATTTGGGCTCAAGTTTGAAAGTTCAGATTTCCCTCCACAACTTCATTTTACAGTAAAATTCATCTTGTTTGAAGAGAGCATTTTTTTGTCCTTGAGACAAAATAATATCACATGTTACCTTTATTTTTTTACGGGGAGGGGGGCTGGGAAGGCGCGTGTGGGCATACCATCAATATTGGAATGAATGCATTAAATAAATTATTAGAACAAAGGATTTAAGAGAGGCAATATTAGTAAAGCACTCACACACCCCCCAAAAAATTGTAAACCATACCCAGTTAGTTCCTTCTAGCTGGCAATAAAAAGAGGATGCAGTATAGCCAGCAATCCCAGATGTAAGGGCATAAATGACAACCAGTGCGGTGAACAGAGCTCCACGATTGTAAGGATAAAATACACCAACCAGTGCAAGGATGAAAATAAAGATCGTGCTGTGGAGAAAAGGCATGATTGAAATTAGAAGATTTTCCAACAATTAATGATGAGAAACTTGATTGGTAGAGTTAATGCTACGTAGACAAGCAGCTCAATGATATACTCACAGGGTAAACAACTGGGTTCCAGAACCAAGGGCTGCCGCAAACAAAGATTTGTACTTCGGATACCTGAATACATCACCATGGATGTACTTCCACCCAGTTTCCTCTTGATCATCAGCAGTCTCCTCATCATGAGTGTACCTTACCACAAACAAGATGATAAATTGTTAACATACAGAAGGTTTAAAGTGAAACGTCAGGAGACAAGTTATCAGAATGTGCTCACTTGACAAAATCATTTTTAAGGACCCGCATAAGAATAGTAGCCAAGAAACCAGTTAGGAGGAGAACTGTCACACAGGAGTTGATTATTGAAAACCAATGAATTTCCAAGTGATGAGGCAGTGAAGAAGACTTTGAGTACTTCTCCATTCTCCTCTCAAAAGGAGTATTAGTTTCCTTCCATTTTACTGAGTACGTGAACTCTACTCCAACTTCCTTATCCTCAGAGAGGTCTACAAGGGCATTAGGGTCAGTTTGTGCATTAATCTCAATAACTCGATCTTTATTGTAAAGGATCTCGAAATGGATATGCTTGTATAGATAATATTTATACTCGCTGGGGTCAGATTTTCCTTCCTTCTCAACCTTCCCCAAGAAACCCCAAATGGGCAAATCGTCATAATACATTTGGAAATAGTAATCTTTTGAGACAGCACTGCGGAACTGCGCTACTTCTTCCTCTGACAACTTCTTCTCGCAGACAATTTCAGAGTCTTTATCTTGCAAAAAGTCAAGTTTATAAGGAGCACTTACAAGACGATCTCCATTCAACACTTCCCCAAGAGCTTCCTTCTTATCTTTCGGTTTAGCTGCCAAGGACATTCCATAAATGACTTCAAATTAGCATGTGAGATTTTTTTTTTCCACAAATGTATCTTGTAAATAATAAGAGAAGCAATATGACAAGATTCAAACCTCGGGAACAGAAAGGAAGATCAAAGAAGCGGTATGTTTCACTGGCATAGATAAGAGAAACAGTTGGCATTAGCTCCTTACAATAGATTATGTATTTGTATTTTTTTTGTTAGTGCGTGCGTGCGTGCATGAGTGTTTGTGACAGCGTGCCTGTTCACTACTGCCATTCAACTTCATTATAATATAAAGATTGATATCCATCACATCTAAGTGCACTTGGATTAATAGTTTTAAAAAATACAGCGCGAGGGGTTTCTTTTGCCCCATTTTCCCGATGTTCTGAATGCTTCAGACCATACCCTTTGATTTCCTAATGAGTGTACATACTGCCAACTCATACTCTTTTCTCTCACAGTGAGCATTCAGTGTTTTCAAGACCTTGTGGTCAGGTATAATAAGTAGACATGTATAAATAATTTCAATCTGGTGAAATTATTTGCAAGGAGTTTCTTTTCATCACTTTGGGAATTCTCGTTAAACCAGATTGCTTGTTCCACTATCTCAGTAGAAATAAGAATGCCTTTTGCACGCTATTGAGCCAGTTCGATTTCTGGTGAACTTTTGGTTCTTAAAAAATTAGTTTGTAGAATGCTTTCTTAGAGGAAGGAGAATTGATGCTTACATAATTTTTCTCACACAACAAATTGAACAAAATACGTAGCTAATTTCATTTTAATTGATGCTAACACCATCATTTCCTTCGGCACTCAAAGTCAAACCCTCCATAATTCCCGAATCTAAACATCTCTAAATTTCGGATAACTCATACACTAAATTATTCATAAAACTATAACCATTGCATATACTTCTAGATACATACATATGCATGTAAAAAAGGAATCATTAGATAATTTTACCTAGGGTTATGAAAAGGTCCAACTTTATTCGCGTAAAGAGGCACTGGATCTCCGACTTTGTATTTATGATCTGATCCGTCCGATCTCACCTGAATTGAGGTGCACAATAGGATCAAAACGACGGCGTATAATCCACCTTCCATCATCTTCTTCGCTTCCATTGTTTCTGCTACTTTTTTCACACGTACACTGACTGAAATGATATGAATTTATTTAGTAATACACGCAAATGCATACATGTAGAGAGAGAGAGAGAGAGAGAGCAGACAGAGAGAGAGAGAATGCAGATCTCGATCTCTCCGAAGATAGATGTGTGGAATTTTACGCCCTGTTGAGAGGCTATGGGATTAAAGAGGGAAATGTACAATTGAGTCCCCAATCTGTTGAAATTGTTGCAAGTAGGTTCTTTCTTTTCTTTTTTAAGCACTCAACTTCTCAAGTTTATCTTACATTTGATTAAAAACTCGGAACTATTTTTGGCAATATGCTTCACTCCCGCTATCCTGCGTGTCTCACTCTGCCCGAGAATTAGGTGAAAATGGGAACATGGTCCTCGCCAATCCACATGATGATTAAAGCAACTTTTGGAAGTTGAGTGAATTAAAGAACGACAAAATGTCCAACTTCCGTTCTATCATACGCAATCCTACTTCACCATAGACTCGGGGTGGAGATAGGAATATGATCATCTCCTCAACTCTTAATTTTTAATTTTTTTTATGTTTTAAAAATTAAAAAATATTAAAAAATAAATATATAAATAATTTATTAAATGGGGAAATGGGCAGGACAATTTGAGATATTGTCCGACCCTGCCTTCTTTTCATTCCTACATAGTTTTTTACGTTATTATTATTCTTTTCTTAATAATTTATTTTATTCGTTTGTTTTATAAAATATAAACATATGAGTATATCTGTCTTCAACTAAAAAAAAAAGTTTTAAATTAAAGAAAATGGTAAAATCTTCAATGGGGATCAAAATTTTATGAAAATGAAAGTTGGAGATAGGTTGAAAAAGTATTAAGTTAGGAACCTACATGCTATATTTTCAATAAATGGAGGACCTCTCTGTAATTTTCTGGATTAAAGAAGTAGCGTATACCACGAACGTCTTGTCGTCTTTATGGAGAGTGGATTACAAATTACAACTGTCAAATGGACTGGTTAACAGATGATGCAGGAGATTGCAACCTCGTAAATAACCTGATAAGCCGGACTCTGAGCATTTAAACTGAAATGCAAGTGACATTAGGTTCGGCCCGGCTCGTTTTTAGGCCCACCTTGAGCCTTCCTTAACTGGTCGTGTGGTCCACTATTGATTGGTAATAGGTTTGAATCCTACTGGGAGAGATTTGATTGATTCTTAATTAACGAATTCGGTCTACGTGTCCAAACATTAAGCTCCTGTCTGTGACTGTGAGCGATTTTTATCCCATTTTCAGGAAAGTTTTTATCGTTGACAAATGCACATGGGTCCATTGCTTCCAGAATTATTGACTACCTTATAATTAAATTATCATAAATGTCGTTCTTTCAAGAAAATGAATTAAATGTTAAAGGGGCATATATGTCATTCTACTTAATCCAGTCAATAATTGCTGCTGTACATATGTATAACGAGCTATAAATTGCAAACAGTCGTGATCTAAAACGTGCAATGACATGGATTTACCCATCTTACATTGTTTAGTGTATGAATGTCTAAATATATAGCTCGTGTACATTTCAAAAGGACGTTGTAATGGTTGTAGAGAATTGTTTTGACGCCATTTTTCTCTCCTCTCAGCTGTGTCACTTCTTCCTCTCCCTGTATATACAATTTGTAGGTGAAATTGTGGTTTCTGGAGTGAACTTTGTAGTGTGAAAATCGTGTAAAAGTCTTAGGCTAGAGATTTGGAGGTTCGATTGTGGTTCCTAACTTTCTGATTTGGTTTGAAATTCTTGCTGCAAGTTTTAACTGATTGATTTGCTTGCAAATCAAGATTAATCATCACAAAGTAATAATTAAGTATCTAATCAATAATTTTAAGTGGCTAATTATTATAGTAAGCAACTTGTATGTATGTAAGATATACAAAAACTCACAGAGGCGTATATACAAACTATACAAATTCACAAGTAATTACTTGTTGAAATAATTGTCACAAATAAATTCAGTTGCTTCTATATTAATCATAAAATTATAACATAAGTAGTCAAGGAATATATACTCAGATGTAATAATAATAATAATAATAATAATAATAATAAGTTGAAAGGGGATTTGGCTATGTTTAGACTGCTTACCTTTCGACGATCAACCGCTAATGTATACAGAAGGATATAAATGGGCAAAGATGGGTTTGTGGATCAGGTTCAAGCCCAAGAAGGTTTTTTTTTTTTTTTTT